AATGTTCGATGAGTTGTATAATAGGAACAGTTCAAAGCAAAGTGCTCTCAAGTGGAGGGAATGTGCATCTTAAAAAAGAAACCACCCACAATTTTTTATACAGTACAGCCCTGTAACATTAATTTCTTCGGTGGAGTGAGGCTGGGCTTCTTGCTCACAGTGTGAGAAGTGGGTTTCTCCACACAAAGTGCATCTCAGTCTGTTCTCCCAAGTCCCCCCCCCTTTTTTGAAGCATCACTTAAGCTGAGTGCTTTACACAGAGCAGAATTGATAGCTCGCTGTTTTTTGCCACACCCAGCCTTGGCCAGCGCTCCAGGAGCTACATGGCAGTGGGAGCCACACCACATTCTGTCACACACATACAAAATACATACACAGATCCTGAGCTTTCCTCCTCCTCAGCTGATCCATGCAGATCAGCTGAGAAGGGTGGAAATTGCCCCCTCCCTGCTCATCAAATAATCAATCCCGGAAACTACAACTAATCCAGAATGCGGCAGCTAGACTGGTGACTGGGAGTGGACACTGAGGCCATCTAACACCGGTCCTGAAAGACCTACATTGGCTCCCAGTACGTTTCTGAGCACAATTCAAAGTGTTGGTGCTGACCTTTAAAGCCCTAAACAGCCTCGGTCCTGTATACCTGAAGGAGCATCTCTACCCCCATCGTTCAGCCCAGACACTGAGGTCCAGCTCCGAGGGCTTTCTGGAGGTTCCCTCACTGCGAGAAGTGAGGTTACAGGGAACTAGGCAGAGGGCCTTCTTGGTAGTGGCGCCCGCCCTGTGGAACGCCCTCCCACCAGATGTCAAAGAGAAAAACAACTACCAGACTTTTAGAAGAAATCTGAAGGCAGCCCTGTTTAGGGAAGTTTTAAATGTTTGATGTTTCATCGTGTTTTTAATATTCTGTGGGGAGCCACCCAGAGTGGGTGGGGAAAGCCAGCCAGATAGGCAGAGTATGTATGTATGTATGTATGTATGTATGTATGTATGAATGAATGAATAAATAAATAAATAATCTTCTTCTTATTATTACTACTACTACAACCTGATGACCAGGGAAGGGGCAACTTGCATTCCCATCTGGATGCTGGGCTGCATGGTGAGGTTGAAATCCCAACTCCCAAAACTGCTTTAACGGGACAGTCAATAAATTCATGGTCTACCACTGGCTCTTGTGATGCTCATGCTGTCACTGAAAAAGTGTTTGTGTGCACAGGAGTGCTTTTGCTCTTGTGTCCCACTTGTGGGCTTCTCACAGGCATCTGGCTGGCCACCTCAAATTAGATGGGCCTTTGGCCTCACCCAGCAGCATCTTTCTTCTGTTCTCATCATGTATATTACTTTAGTTTTATGAGCCAGTGTTCCCAGAGAGGAATAATTATGAACGTTAGGCTTCAGTTTGGTTTTCAGTGCTGCTGACTTTATATAATTTATTTTTTATGTTCACCACAAAGTAATTCTCTTATGCTAAAACCATTATAGTAATTTGTTATTACCAAACTTTTTCAAAAGTGTTGGGCTTAAAAATAAACTCAAAAGCTGCATTTTGTAAAGTGCTTTTTTATTATTAGGCATTGTCAACTGCTCAGTGAAGTGCTTTCATGCAAGCTTGACTACTGTTAACCTAGAAAAATCACTGCTATTCAGTACATAAAAGTCAGTCATCAAAAGTGCTACATGTTTCTAAAACTGAACCAGAGCCTGGTTTCGTTTCCAGTCACGTTGGAATATTTCAGTGAATTAACACTGGCTCACCAGCTCACTATTTCTGTAGATATCACCCGTGATGAAGTTCTCTGAATGCAGATCAGCCCAACTCAAGCAAGCTGAAGTCCTATTGATTCCAATGGGAGAAACTTAGCTTACTGTTTTCTCATTGAGCTAAATGGGACTTTTAGTGTGCAAATCTATGCAGGTAAGCCACATTGAACTTAGTAGTACTTACTTTTAAGAAAATATGCAAAGGATCTTGCTGCATACTGCTTAACTTTGGTTGGATCATGCACCTTATTTTGGGTTTTCAGGCAACATAATGTATACACTGGATTCAAAAATGTGAAGGCACATCATACCTCAACGACAAAAACAATATGTATAATGTGCAAATGCTGGATAAATGGATTATGGTGCATTATGATGATCGATTTCAACCAAGGACTCTGATTCAATATTTCTTTTCTTAAAAAAAATGAAAAAGAAACAATGCTACTCCTATAGCTAAGAAAGCAAATGTACATACCATATCATGAAACAACAGCTCATTTACTTACAGTAATAACAGTAGGTGAAAAAATATCTTTAGAAACCTTTGTCTTCCTCTTAGAGCACACCAGGTGCATCATCTCCAAGTTTATTACAACAGATAAAGCATATATTTGAAAAAGTGCAGTAGAAGAGAATAATATTGTAGCCTGTTTTTCCAGGGATGGAGTCACACATGCACGCTCATCTCTTGAATGCAACACTAACACAATCATCTACAGTATGTGTGAAGGGACCCATCATAAGAGCTAAAACCACAGTGAGAATTTTCATACACGCAATGTCACCTCAAACTAGATACATTTCAGTTCACACCTTTAGCCAGAGCTATCAAGCATTGGGTAAACAGGAGATGCGCTTGCATGTATGAAGTAGCCCTTAATAAACATTTTTTTAAAATACAGATTATCTTTGTCTGAACAGACATGACAGATATTTCTCAGCTAGACATGAATTCCAGTACACCTCCAGCAAATTAAGTGTAAATCGTTGGTGAAATAGAGTACAAATAAATGATTTCTGGTGCGACCTCGTGGTTTAAGTGTTTACAAAAAGTTATGGCAGGTAGCCGGATGTGAAAGGTATATTTCATAAATAATGGTTATATAAACGTTTAACCACAGTTAACAAATTATGCTCGGTCAATTGGACTACATTTACTCATTATCATCATACTGTGTATTTCCTTTAAATTGATCTCCATCAGCTGGCTTCCTCATCTTGACATAATCTTCTTGAGAAGACAGAACAGCTCTACAGCTTGAGTCCAGTGAATCTATGCTTGTATCTTTCTGCATAATTTCCTTTGCTTGACAGATATTAATACGACCATTCATAGCGTCTTTTGAATGCGGGCTGGAAACATCTTTGGTTGCGCCAAAAGAGCCCAACAGACCAATGCTGTCATTGTGGGATAAAAAAAAGTGTCTGCGTTACCAGATGAAATAGTATTTAACTTTTTAGCATGTCTGACTGCTTCCCTGGTGCCTAGTAACTCACTATCCAAAGGATATGTTGCATTAGCGACCTCCTTTAAAATGACGGCGTTGCTAGCGCGTGGTTTTTGACAACTGGCAATTTTATTATTATGTCGAATAAGACTATCTGAGGTAGTGGTAACTTTCCTTTTGATGCTTTCTTCAACGAGATTTAAAGCCTCAGCGGAGTAGCCCATGTCAGGGTCAGTTCTACTGAGCTGTTCTGAATTTCCTGTGTCTCTCTCTGGCCTTTCAAATGCATATACATAGGGAGCGCTCTTTTCTCCTAACAGAGAGTGCATATCACCAAGAGATACTTCCTGTCTCCCAATGTTCTGATGCGGAAAAGCGGATATACAACTGTTGTTGTTGTTGTTGTTGTTATTGCTGCTGTTGAAAGTGATATCCTTATTATTCGGCAATATGATGTCCTCATCTGTGTTAGTAACTGGTATAACTTCCGCAACATCAGCCTTGCTATTTCTTCCATCCATCTCCTTTTCAGTACCCTTCATAGTCGTGTTATCGCATTCTTTCACATTCTTTCCACTTTCCTTCTCCTTTTCTGATTCTTCAGCTTCACTTGTTTTCCCTTGCCTAGTTTCGTTTCCCCCCTTTTTGCCGACTTCACATGTCCTTGTCATACTGGTGTTTGTGGCTTCCACTCCCTGAGATGCAGAAGTAGGAAAGGGCTGGCCAATTGATTGTGAGTCAACAGTTTCACCTCTCTTTTTCTCCTTGGTTTCCCAAATATAGTCATCGCCATTTGCCAGTTGATGCTGGTTTCGGTCACCCACACATGGATTTAGACAGGTCCTGACGACCTCTTGTTCAGAAACTTCTGGTGGCCATTTTGGTTTATTCACTTTAACCTCCTCCTCAATAGAAAATGATTTTTTGGGTGTTTCCATAGAAGGAGGCCATGTGACATTTAGTTTCCCCCACTCTGTGTTTTGTTTTAAATTCTCACCCAAAGTTTCACGATGCCCTCGCCGCCTGCCAGGATTTGAAATTTGATCAGTTGGTTTATCTGTCTTTGAGATGGATGAATGAACTTCTTGAGCACGAACACAGCCAATGGGACCTTTTTGATCTTTGGGAATCCATAATTCTTTATGTTGCTTGTGTCCAAAACCTTCATCATAATTTCCTTTGGATTTGAAAAGTTGCTTAAAATGGGGTTTACAGTATATTTTTCCATGGAGAGAAGCGTAATTTCCCAAGCTGCCAAATCAAAGAGAAAGTGTTTTATGGCATCTATCTATCACAAATGCTCCAAGAATATCCAATTTCAGTTGACATTTTAAGTACCTATAAATAACAGTTTCTATAAATATGGCCCTAACTCATATCATTTTAGAAAAGAGATAATAAATGCATTTTATTTAATGTATTCTCAGAGATTACAGATTCGATGTATTCTAACAGATTATGTCTACTAGCAAGTGATATAACATTCACTTTCAATGTTGGTTTTATAACTTTGTTTTAAATGTGGAAATTGGTTTTTCAGGGCCATCTGCTATCCTCCTGTGCAAGAAGTGGCACAAACCATAGCAGTGTGCAACACTAGATAGAAATTGTTCTTTGTGAGGCAGTGTGGAATAAGAGTAGGTTGAAGGTGCCTATTCTTTTGACGGCAATAGTGAGTTCAACTCACTATTGGGTTGTGGCCTGATCCAAAGGAGGTTGCAACAGGAGCACCACCACCATGCAAATATATGGCCACAAGAAGAAGAAATGAGTCCTCACATGCATGCCTGGATAGCTCAGTGGGTTAGAGGGTGGTGCTGACAATGCCAAGGTTGCAAGTTTGATCCCTGCATGGGGCAGCTACATATTCCTACATTGCAGGGGGTTGGACTAGATGATCCTCAGGGTCCAACACCACAATTCTATGGTTCTTTGTTTGGGTTAAAAGTAGGTAATGGGTCTCCAAAGGCTGAAGACACCCGCTTTAGAAAAACATATTAGAAGAGACAGAGAAGATAAATCTGTGGGTTGGGCTAGTCTGGTGTGAGAGAGTGAGAGAATTTGTTAAGAGGAGTCAGTCAAACAGTTGAGATAATCCCTCAGAAGGTATTAGGAAGGTATAGGCTGGTAAAGAAACTAAAGTTGAGATACTGACAGGAATATTATCTGAGAAACCATAAACTTGTTAATGTTTGTAAAATAAACTTGTTTTTTTGGTTCACTTTCAACAACTGTCTGGACTCAGTGTTTTACCCGAGAGTAATGGGTTGGTGGCAGCGGGGAAGTGAGCACAGTGGTGGCACAGGGATCAATAGACCGTTAAACATCCAGGGACCCTGTGTGATCGCCACACCAAGGAACATCAGACCTTGCATCTGATAGCCATGCATCTCCCTGCATGGTATGAGAGCCGGACATTTCACACATGACCCCCCAAGTGTTGCAAGAGGAACCACAACCCATTTGTACTTTCTGTTTGAACACTTTTCAGATAAACCAAGGTGTGTTTCAGATTCATTACACAAGTATTGATTAACTGCAGCGTACTGAAATACAGCACAGCAATGCAAGCGTGGTGAGGCTGTCCAGTCACATCACTACTATTCCTGGGAGCCAAATGGGAACGGGCAACGTGGTAGGAGAGCAGTGCTGTGCACCTCTTCTCTTTTGGTTGATCTATACTTTGCTGCTTTTTCTTGGAATCATTTTACATGGTTGTTTTTTTTATATAATCATACATAAACTGATATATTTCTTTTCTTTGTTTTTTAATTGCATGATTGTATTACTGTAAGCTGTCCTGAGGCCTTTTGTTGAAGGGCAAGTAATGAATTTTTCAACTAAATAAATATTATGAGTTCCTTTGGAAACACAGCATATTTAGTGTCCATGTGCAATATTATTTTGCAAACATAGCAAATGGAAAATAATTTCCAGGGAACAGATCCACCCAATTATTCTTGTCGCTCTGATTCTACCTACAAGACTTACATCGCACTTTGCATCCAGCTTTGACAAGTTCTAAAATATGGAGAACCGATATCCCCCCCCCCTTAGATGGAAATGTCCAAAGAGAAAGAGCTTAAGTGACCTGCCAAACGACCATTTCGGTGCTAGAGTTCAGCAGGAATTCCCGGTCTGTTGACTTTTGACCCACTCTCTTGGATATCACTCATATGAGAACAGATGCCGGCTATGACAGTATTTGTATGTCAACGTGTTAATTGTTCACTTCATCTTACCTTAATTTACTGCCACAATGGTGACACCGGAAACATGATTTATGAAAGGTCTGCTTGTCGGCAACCAGGCATTCCATTGGATAGACTCTCTTTTGACAAAGTAGGCACGTTTCCTTTCCCTGAAGTTGCAGTTTCTAGAAATAAATAAGACAGGGTCTCAGAGCTATTACTCATTTTTCCCCCCTTCACGCTCTGCACCAAATGTTTTGCCACCACTAAGAAAGCTGAAATGCTTGACTCACATTGAATTAACACCTAAGATTCCAGTTTAAAGGGCCAAATAAAATCCATGTTGCATCATAACCTATACATCCTTGGGAGACTAGGCTCACCTGTTTACTTGGAAGGCACAGATTGTGGTTTAATATTCCAAGAGGAAGAGTGACTCATGCTTCCTACTTTTACATTTTCACTGTCATGTGCCAAGCAGGAGCTTGCATAGCGAAGCTGCATATTTCTGCAGCCGGAGCTCGCCCACACCTTCCCACTGGGGAGGCGATGCATATGTTCCCCCTTAGCACATATTTCAGTGGAAATGCCTGTTTTTCCTCTTTCACTGCATTGGGGATTTTCTGCAGGCAGCAGATCATACATTTTTAAAGGGTTGGCTCAACAGCGTTGATCAATAGTCCAAGACATTTTGTGTTATTTACTTTGTTGAATCAGATCTGTTCTCCTTGGACAACGTGGATTATTACAGTGATGCCAATCCCTTTGTGTGTGTTTGTGTGTGGGGCTTGATGCTGTTTAGCAATGAAGTTGCTGCCAAGGTTTGCGTTGCTGTGCTCTCTGCGAGGGACTGTGTTCCATCCAGGAATGGATGAAACCAGCTGACCAACTCCACTCCACAGGCCCGCCACCTGTGTACTGAAACTATAAACCAGAGCTGACTCACCTATGCCCACCCCAGATGTTGTTAGATTACAACATCCATAAGCCCCAGCTAAATTTGGCCAATGTTCAGGAATGATGGGAGTTGTAGTCCAACAACATCTGGGGGAAGGGGCACAGCTTAGACATCCTTGCTAAAAAGAAGACACTTCAGAATAAATGACATAAATCTGGATTTCTTTTCTTTTTGAATTACATTTGGCCAGAAGAAGAGAGAATGAGTTTTGGAGAGAAGTTTTGTTCTTGAAATACCCTGTTTAGGTTGAACTAATCTTTTGAATTATGGTGCTGGAGGAGACTCTTGAGAGTCCCATGGACTGCAAGAAGATCAAACCTAACCATTCTTAAGGAAATCAGCCCTGAGTGCTCACTGGAAGGACAGATCGTGAAGCTGAGGCTCCAATACTTTGGCCACCTCATTGAGAAGAGAAGACTCCCTGGAAAAGACCCTGATGCTGGGAAAGATTGAGGGCACAAGGAGAAGGGGACGACAGAGGACGAGATGTTCTCGAAGCTACGATCGTGAGTTTGACCAAACTGCGGGAGACAGTGGAAGACAGGAGTGCCTGGTGTGCTCTGGTCCATGGGGTCACAAAGAGTCGGACACGACTAAACAACAACAACAATCTGTGAATATTTTACATGTGCTCCTCTATGCTTAAATGTATTGACACTGTGGTTTTTTTGCATTTAGACCATTCATACAGTTCTTAGGCTGCTGATTTAACTGTTTTTAGTGTTATCTAATTGGAATTGTTTATATTAAGTATTGATTTTTGTGAGAAATTAGCTTATAATTACTGTTGCTTTTGTACTCGGCATATTGATATGTTAGGAAGCAATCTGAGCCCTTGATCCATGTTCCTGGAGGGGGTTAGAATTGGGCAAATGTCACTCCATCCAGCTCTGCTGAAAGGGTAGCTCTATTGCCATGGATGCCCCATTGCACCTACTGAAGATGGTACTGCCATCTGTATTCCTGCTGACAGTAGCTGGTGCAAGGACCCCAAATGTGGGTGTTATATGGGGAGCAGCAGGAGTGACCAAGGGTTTTCTGGGTCCTAAAATGGCCTCTTTTCAAGTTAGGGTCTTGATTTGGGCCTTTCTGCTGCTCATGCTCAGAGCTGAAACAGGAGAGAGAGAGAGAGAGAGAGAGAGAGAGAGAGAGAGAGAAATGCCTCCACCTCTGCCAGAAAAGGTTTAGGTAAGGCGATGGTCCCATGACTCTGATTTTCCCTGGGACCAGATTATTCTGATTCAAATTGCTCTGTTATTATACTTTTGACATTGATGTATTTACTGACATGTTGTACATATTATTGCTATGAAGCACTTTGAGCTCAACTTTGCTGTTGAAAAAGTGGCATGCAAGTAAATCAGATGGAATCCTTCACAAATGAAGCCCATCACCACTTTAATTATAGCAATTAAAATGGATTAATATGGCATCAATATCATCACCCTTTGTTTTTAGTCTCTTAGCTGTGATATAACGTCCTGAAATGTTTATATTGCTGTTATTACGACCCTGATTATATTGCTTATATTTTACAAGGTTTTTAATTGTTTTAAATCTTGTACACTACTGTGGGAAAATATTTTGAATGAAGGCTAATAATTTCTTTAAATAAATAAATATCCAGGGAGGCCAAAGAGTTGTTGGGGAGGGGAGAGAAAGGGGCAGGAAAGTCCCTTTCTATGAGCTTCTTTTTGTTTCCTATTCATGGGTTCCAAGCCCATATGTTGGTTTCACGTTTATACTGGAACAGAGTGTTTGGAAATCCCAAAATCCTATGGATGTAATCACCCTCAACAGTTCTGGTAGTGCAAGCATTTCTGGCTATGCAATTAAACTTCCCCTCCCTCTTTTCTTCCTGTCCAACCCCATGAACCACTTAAAGCTGTTCCAGATGGTTGTGGAGAAACCCACTGTGATGTACTGAAGTTCTCACCCTGGGCCAGCAGGGGGATACTGTAGATAGTCATGCAAATAAGGGATTGAAAGTGACGTTCAGTGATTGGATAGTTTTAGAAAATTGTTACAGTTACGTTGTACTGGAGCTCTATATAAGCAGGCTGACTGAACCCTTCAGTTCAGTTCTGTTCTGGCCTGTGAATAAACAAGAGCTGTTTGAAGAATCGCTGTGTTGTCTGATACGTTCACCCACAACTTAACACCCACGACATATTTCGGGGATGTGCAGGCAGAGAAGAGGGAGAGGAAGTTCGGTGGTACAGCCAAAAGTGTTTCCACTAGCGGAACTATTTACCTGGATAACATCTAGTGATTATATCCATAACTTCATTGCTCCTTTTCACAATGTTTTTTACTGCAATTAGTGTCTTCAGTCTCTCCTTCACTATAACATGTATTTGAAATAGTATGAATGAAGTGTTTTCATCAAATCAGTGCAATATTATTGTGCTTCCTTTCCCTGCTCCATCAGTTTGTGCCCATCCCTTGGCACAAACATCATTGAGAATGCCTTCCTATGGGAGAATCATTTTTGACAATAATTCCACACGCCACAGAGTAGAACTCCAAATAAATGCAACATTTTATGATGTCTTCTTTCTCTCTGTCTGGCATTCTGAGGTTTCAGCCCTAAACACACTTCTATAATTGGATCATTACCACGGAGCACATTGTAAGGGTTGGGCTATAAATCTCTTTAAAGGCCTGCACATATAAAACAAAATGAAGTTGCATTAAGGCAGGGGTAGCT